CTGCGTGTCCGCAGCCCAGACGAGGTGCAGCGCAGGCTCACGTAGCTGAACTGGACATTTTCAGTGAAGAGGAACCTGCTATCTGTGGACACAGGAAACAACCACCCCCCCACAACCATGCCACAGCCAGCAGAGCCACAAAGACAACACACACACACACACACACACAAATGCACAACTGTTAAAGAAATTCCCAGGTTGAATTACTATATGAATTTTAAAAAGGTCTTGCAAATAGTTATCTGGTCCAAGGACGTTATGTTTTCCCCCCTGTCCATTTATTGGTTGTTTTATGTTTTTTTGCAAACAGGATTATGAAAAACTACTTGATGGATTATTACGAAACTTGGAAATATGTGTTTATAGTTCAGAAAAGAACCCATTAGATGTTAGTACCAATCTGGATTAGTGGGCAGATCCAGGAATTTTTTTCTTGATGAAAAGAATTCTGTTTTAGGGACTGATATTTATGCATGTGTGCAATTTGGTGCAGATCAAAAAAAAAAAATCAGGATCTAGGGAACTTAAATGTGGTTTCATGGACTGTTGGGCCTTGGTGGAGGTATGTGCTCTACTGAGTACTATTCTAGCTTGGTCATTTTTTTGTCATGTACGCAGACTGGGAAGTGGCTTTGATAATTTCCTTTATTTGAAACAATTATGTGCACTTTCAGCAACTGTGATGCATGTAAGAAATCCATCCTAATCACTTTGGAGAGGCAAAATAACCCTCCAATCAGAACTCCCTTTGATTGATAGCTGGGTCAGAGCTAACTGAAAGGCATGCTACGGCTAATTACATCCTCCACTGTCACTGCCATTCAAAGTGCTGCGCTGAGACGTTCAAGACACTTAAAACCACATCACTTTAGCCACAAATTTCTCTCACATTTGCCTTTGGGTTGTTTTGGTTTACAGCCTTTCAGGTCTGCTTTATCTTCCGAAGATTGTGGCTTGAGATGCTGACAGTTCTCGGTAAACCCAAAATGTTTTCTAACCAACACCACGAAGAGGCTGAAACTTAAAAGCCTGTCGATCAGTATCCTGTGTTGTGTGTGGATGTTTTGGGATTGTTGTGTGGCAACCTCTGTACCTGAATGTGCAGCGTTTAAGCTCTCCTTTAGTTTCTCCTGGCTTCGTTTTAAGTTGCACTTCCCCGTGCCTGACTTAAAAGTGGCTGTGGTCTTAATGCGTGGAACTCCGGCCACTTCTGGACCTGGAACAGAAACAAATCTTGTTATTTTCATCTACTTTTATATCAACTGACGACAAAAAAGCCTGTGTTGTTTCCTGAGTTACGGTTTTGTGTGGCAGAGCGGAAAGATCGATGTAAATCTGTGATGTTTTGTACTTGCCCAAGCAATACAAGCCACTGTTGTTCTTTTGTGCGTCAGCCAAGCAGGGCAAAGGCATTCCACAGGTCACCGTGTAGGAATCCTCCGTCCCTAAAAGTTAGGGCCACAAAAGGCGAGTGAGAGAGCAAACAGGAAGCATGTAGGAACACGAAACTCATCTCTCTGCAGACTGATGCTGACGACCGTTCACAGAAGTAGATGTAGACCAGCTTAACTTACTAATTATGTTTCCATTAGCATGATTTAACATCACTTTGCTAGAACACATCTGCACCAGGAGAACCCTGACCTATTCTGTGTCGTTTGGGCCAAAAATGTAATGATGCACTTGACTGAGGAGAGTCACATGATATCATCTGAGGTTATTCTTATTATTATTCCCTATGCAAACTATAATGGAGCCTCAGTGTTTGCTAGACTGTCAGAATTCCATTGACATCCATTCATCCCTGTTTGAAGCTAACATGAGAACCAAAGACACAACCAAAAATGCAACTGCAGTTTGTACAAACCATGGATCCTCAGCATGAAACTCTTTCCTGTGCAGAGCTCATCTCCTAGATAACAAGTTAGAAATCACACAAACTCATTGTGGCCTGGCTAAATGTGGTGATCTGATTCAACCAACTCACCACTGCTGATGTGAACTTGGGACTGGCAGGTCAGGAAGCAGCGGTCCCCCCCCTCCTGCTTACTACAGTTCAAGGTGGGTTTAGAGGGGGGTTTGGCAGGTGGTAAACCCTCAGCCTCTAGATAGAAACCATAACAAAACTCGAGGGTAAAGAAGAAAACTTCATTGTAGCAACGAGGACGAGGCACGGCCCAACGTCCTGACAGCGCCGACAGCACTGTTGCACTTTGGATGTTTTACTCAAAACACAAGAAAAATAAAGTGACGGAGAATTAAAGAAGAAAAAAAGAGAGCAGAATTCAAAGTATCTCCTGTTTTTGTCCCCCAGGTTTTAGTGCAGAATGTCACACAGATTTTTATCACGTTTGTTCCAGAGACAGAACAGCAGCACTCAACAGATGCACCAGCTTACCAATGCAGTCCTTTTTGTTCCAGTGCAGCTTATAGCCAGGATGGCAAAAGCATTCAAATCCACCCATGGTGTTCTCACAACCCTGCTCGCAACCGCCATTGTTCACACTGCATTCATTTATATCTGAGGGGAAAAGAAGGAAAATCATTACTGTGATTACAGGCTCCGTTTCACAACAACACATCAGTGAGCAAGTACTCACATTTGTATGCTTTTTAGCATTTGTGTGTTACGCTCAAGTTGTTATGTATAACTCCCTCCGCCTAACAGGGTCTCACCTCCGCAGTGGGCCAGTCCATACATGGTGAAGCCTTTGTTGCACAGACACTGAAAACCACCGGGGGAGTTCACACACGTGTGATCACATGTCCGCTCAAAAAAACACTCATCTATATCTGTAATCAGAATCAGACAGATGACATAATAGCAGGGCAGCCAGTTGCAATCTTCATCAGGAGGGATTTCCCACCCACAGACACACATAAGCATTTGATCCTGCATTTTCCCACTGAGAGAAATGTGACGTGTACAGGGTGCTACACAAATAAAACACAGCTGGAATTTGATTTGCAGATAAAAAGAAGGTAGTAAATCATTGAGACACCTTAATGTACTTACACATGCATCAGATAAGCCTCATTTAAGACATAAATTCGAATCCAAAGGTAAACGAAGCAGTAGCCACATTACCGCACTCAGAGCGTATACCTCCACCAAGACCCAACAGTCCCCATGTGAAAATACATTTAAATTCACTAGGTCTGGATTGTTATTTAACTTGCACACACTCATAAACACCAGTCTCCTAAACATGCCTGATTTTTTCAGCAAGATCCATAAATTGTTCTCTGATTAATCAACAAAAATGTAGAAAGATGATGTTTATACAAAGTAACCTTGGAGTAAGACCCGCCCACATATAATAAGAGATCAAGACTTAAAAAAATAAAATGATTAAAATGAAATTATAAATTTGTGAGCAATGGATGTCTCAGACATCTTATGTCATGATTCTATCTGTTTTATGCAAAAACATTTTGTTCCAGCTGATCTTAATTGACTTGTGCAGAGTTTGAGGTAAACAGACAGGAGGAGTCAGATTTGATTTCTACCTTGACAGGAACGCTCATCTGTGAGCAGCTTGAAGCCTTTCCTGCAGTTGCACTCGAAGCTGCCGATGGTGTTCCTGCAGAAGTGATCGCAGCCGCCGTTGTGAAGTTCGCACTCGTCAATATCTGTGGAAAACAAGGCGATATCCTGACACCAACACTCAAACAACACTTCTAAAATCACAAAGCTGAACTGCAGCAGCACCAAGACACTCGTGATCTCTTCTTTTTTTGGGGGACTGCCAGTCTGACCTTTGCATGTTTTTCCATCCGGCTGCAGGGTGAAGCCGACGGGGCAGCTGCAGCGCACGCCGGTGGATGTGTCTTTACAGGTGCAGTCACACCCCCCATTGTTCACGGCGCAGGTTTCTGAAAGTGCAACACACAGCATGAGGGTATGTGAAAAATGCGGCGTTATTTCCATATGTCACATGTTAGCAAAACAGAACCTCGATTGAAAAACACCTGAGAATCAATCAGCGGAACACAACAAATATACAGTTGCTTCTCATGACTGTTTAATGCTGTTTAACACATTAATAAATGCTGGTGGAAACAGCCAAATGAGGCTCTAATGCCTGGTTTGTATAGTGAACAGCAAAGGAAACACATATATAGGTTAGGTACACATCTTAGCTCATCCTCATAACACGTATTATCTATAACAGAGGACAAGACTCCCAGAGCTGGTGCCAAAGATATAATGTTTTTCACGTGTGGACTCTCCCAGAATCACACAACTGATAAATACTAACTATGCAAGACGAGTTTCACACGCTGCCCTTCCCCAAATGGAAGGAAAACGTGAAATGTACCACACTGTCACAAATGCATGTTTTTCAGGGTGGAAGCTGGGGGCGAGAAAGCAACCGCATAGTCATTTCACAGTTTGCTCAAAACGGCTGAGGAATGCCTGGGGTTTACTAGACGTTACTCCTCTCTCCTGTTTGACACCCCTCAGTGGTTCCTGGCAGCTCAATGCATCGTCACATTAAAAAGAAAGTCAAGCCTCTGAATGTAGGAGGGTGCAATCGTTACCCATCAGCAGTCTACGTTTGACCCGTTTGTCCACCTCAGCGAAGGACGTGGCGTTATGGTCCGAGGGCTCGGTGGTGGCTTCATCACGCTCTGCGACACAGAAAATCAACTATTATTGCTATGATTGATAAATTCAAAATCACTACATTTAAAGAAAACTGGAATGGCTCTCAGTAGAGCACAGACCTCCGCCATGGCTCAATTGTCCCCTTAGATTTAATCAAATTACACAAACTCATAGACATCAATTTCCTAAACATTCCATGAATTATTACTTCCACCACGGAGGCTATGTTTTCTTCTGGGTTTGTTTATTTATCCGTCTGTCTGTTCATTTAGCAGGATTACAAAAAAACTACTGGACACATTATCACAGAGATCTCGCAGATCCGTGGGCGGATCCAGGATCCTGGATCTACTGAATCCAAATGTGATTTCATAAGGGGACTGTTGGGCCGTGGCGGAGATATGCGCTCTCACAAAACACCCTCTCGCAATGTTAAGGAAAGTGAAAAAAGAAATCCTGAAAGTGCCTCTGATCAGGATCCAAAACAAAATCTATTTGCTTCTTCCTCTGGTTGTGCTCCACCCTTTCATTAAGTTTCAAGGAAATCGGTTTAGTACTTTTTGTGTAATCCGTCCAACAAACAAGCATAGATGAGGTAACAAGACAAACACAGTGACTTCTCTGTTGACCTCCGCTCTGGCTGTTTGTGTCGGTCACCGCTCAGTAAGCAGATGCATGTTTACACTCGAGATATTCAGCTTGTAGTGGCTTGGCGCGTGTCAGACAACACAGCACATCAGTAATGTGAATCTGGAGACAACATTGCACTGATATGCCCGGACCTCACACACACTGCTGCTGGAGGGAGAGATATTACCCAATATCTGACAGCCGATCCTTATCCTTCACAACCACTGTGTGGGAAAAGGTACAGTGCGTAACAAGGAGAGCTGACAGAGGGAGATAGTTCCAGCTACTGTGTTTTCATTCAGTCATCAAGATAGTCTCTGAATGACTAAAGAAGCAAAGTGTGAGCTGTTCCTGGAATATTCACTCCCTGGGCTCAGGTCGAGTTCAACTTTATTTACTATCAAAATTCATTTATCAGAAACAAGAAGTCAAAACATGAATCAAATCTTTCATCAGCTTTCTGTTTCTGTTTGATCCACTCATCAACTTTCCCCCCAGATTTCAACCACATTTTATCTTGCTCAGAATTTCATTTGCTGAGGAAGATGGTGGGATGTGGAAGAAGTGGACCTTAAGTTAAGAATGTCTATTTTTTACCACAACACAATATCATCACCGTTATATTGAAACTGGGGCGTGGTCATCGGGCACTGGTCCCAGCGGAAATCTGATTTGCCCTTGAAGATACTTACCAACAATACTAAGAAAAAATATGACAATTTGTTAAGAGTTTTTAACAAGGAACAATATAAAAAAATATTCAACGATGCGTGTCTTTGAGCTAACAGTAAACAAGGAATGACTTAAATGTGCACCTTACTGAATCAGAAATGGTACATGGATGATGGACATATATTTTATCTGTGTAAAATGTGGCCCCTTTAGGATTTAGAAAAATCCTAGATCCGCCACTGAACTGAAGTATTCTAGATATTTTGTGCACTCTCACAAAAACAATCCCGTAAATTCAGTCTATTTAGTACCTTTGGAAACTTTCTGCTCTCTTTAGAATTTGTGATAGGGTTGTGCAAGTTTAAACAATGTTTAGTTGCACAGCATGAGTTGAATCAACTCAGTTTGATTAAAGACAATATGGATACATCATCAGACAGATTAAGATATGATGCTTTCAAAGGGAAGTTTTGAAAATGGAAGATTGTTTGACGAGTGATGAACAGCACGCTTACCTACACATGACCTCTTGTCGGGCTGCAGGGTGTACCTGATGTGACACTTGCATATGGGGCCGTTCTCTGTGTCCTCGCAGGTGTGCTGGCAACCTCCATTGCCATGGTTACAAGTCACTGCGGGGTCAACAACATGCAAGCGTGAGCCAAAATTATCAGCACACCATTTGAAGCCAGCTGCGCACATGTGTGTGTGTGTGCACCAAGTTAGCCTCATGCCACCGAGCACGTACAGGTGCAGCCCTTCTGATTCCTCGCCAGCTCGAACCCTGGGCGACACTCACAGGCCACGCCTCCTTTGGGCGTCTCTTTGCAGATATGGGCACAGCCGTGCTCCTTATTCATACAGTTGAGGCCCTCTGTGAAGAGAACGAGCGAGAGGGCACACAATGAAACTCTCCTACAGTGACTGACCAGCTCCACACAATGGCACACATAGTGAGAGATTAGTCCGCCGTCCTCAAAGACACTGATTGTTCTCAGGCTTTACACAATTCAAAAACATCCACCCAGTGTTATTTAACATTTCGTCACATCTAGAGAGAACATTTGAATTCTGCAAGTAAACAAAAAGATGTTCAAAAAAGTCTTCCCTGCAAGCAAAGCTCTGCAAACTCATCTGGAGTCTACAACATACTCAACGATGCTCTGAGCAGAAAACTGAGATTATGAAAACGCCATTTATACAGATGAGTCACAGCTGAGTGGATAGGTCCACAGGATTTAAAAGGGATGTCAAGACTCGATGAAGTGGAAAGTGCCTGCATTTAAGTTGACTTCAGTCGAGGAGACAAAACAAAGGCACTGCAGACAAATCTGCGACACAGACCACATAGACCCGAGTGTTGCAGTTATTAACTTATTTTGTTCTCCGGGACTCTGAGATCCTTTTTCCCACAGCATGTTGCTGCTGTGGATAAAAGCTCAGTGAAGGGAGCCAGCTTGAACCTGTCACCCCTCATTGTGCTGTCAGTCTGAAGATTTGTATGTGAGCATTAGAGAAATTGCTTTTCCCCTTTTTTTCTTTGCTTACGACAATTAGCACATGCAAGCATCCAGAAACAATCCTTGAACCCTCTTTTATAAATGAATTAGACACTGATTTTTTTTAATTTTGTTTTTGAGTGCCAGAAACCATCTTTAAGTTGTGTTTGTCAGGATCACAGATGCTCACATAACAAGTGTGCATGTGAGTACACTCACCCACAGAGCGGTGGATGCATGTGTGCTGGTTGTCGCTGAGGAAGAAGCCGTCCTTGCAGCGACACTCGTAGCTGCCCATGGTGTTGACACAAGTGTGCTGGCAGCCACCGTTGTTGAACTTGCACTCATCCACATCTACAGCACAGAGGATTGGTCACATTGATTCACAGTGTTTGTGGGAGAAACTTCACAACCGGCAGCCCACACAGACATGAACGCCATCACAAAAGCTTATTTACTCAGTGGTCTCTGGCCGTTCTTACCTAGGCAGTTGTGTCCATCATGTGCCAAATTGAATCCGTCGTAGCAAGTGCAACGATAATTTCCTGGGATGTTGGTGCACTCGTGTACACAGCCACCATTGTACTCCAGGTCGCACTCATCGGTGTCTGCAAAGTAACAGCACACACACAGGAGTGTTCACCCATTGATTCAAAGTCAAAATGTTTGTCTTTGCACAAACAGTAAGAGTGTCAATGAGAGGATGTGTGGTGTAAGAATAAGAGGAATAAATATCCCTAAACAACATCACAGCAGAATAAACATTGTGATGTGAAAACATGTTACAGTGTCTACACGTCCAATCCAGTGATCCCTCTTTGTGGCTGAGGGATGTGGTGACCAGATAAGAATGTTTATCCAACAGCAGACACATTACCTTCACAGTGTTTTCCATCTCCTCTGAATCCTGCTTTACACGTGCACTTGTAGGAGCCTTGAGTGGTCTGACAAATAGCATCAATGTGACAGCCATCACTTCCCTCTGCACATGGATCTGATGAAATCCACAAGGGTCTTAATAATAACCACAAACACATTCAAACAATCATTCACATTGTGGGACTTTTATCATGCGGGCACTTGGTTTGGTCTGTTTGTGACAGCATACAAAAATCTGATTTAACTGAAAAACACAATTACAAAACTCCCTATTACTTCTACTAATAATAGTATGAAGTCTACAGCAGGGAATTTAAAAGGTCCTGGGTAAACAACCCTGCAAGTTAATAAGTTACACACAAAACAGAACCTGTCTGAAAACGTATTTGTGTAAGGAGGACGTAAATTCCCATAGCGACACTTTACGCAGCAACACGCTGGGAAACTAAAAGAAAAAGTCCGCAGTGGAGAAACACAACAAGAGCGCGCTCCTCAAAGCGTGCGTAAAGTAGCACGACTGCAAAACACCACACACACATGCACTCACACACACTCACTACAGTCCCACCTCGAATCTCTGTTAGCGCAGCGCTGTGGAGGCTGTGTACCAAGAGCAGAAACAGACAGGAGTCCCTCGCAGCCCGAACAGGTCCCATGGTGATATGATCCAAGTGGAGGCGTCTGCTCAGGCGGGCGCGTACGCACTGAAGCCGTGAGCGAGCGTCCGCCTCATTTTCATTCTAGCCTGTCAATCTGCTCACAAGGGGCTTTTGAAAAGAGAAAGGAGTGTGTGTGTGTGTGTGTGTGTGTGTGTGTGTGTGTGTGTGTGTGTGTGTGTGTTTAAAAGAGAGCGAGAATGAGAGCGTGCGCGCGCGTACACGTAAAAAAAAGGAGACCGCTGCGTCAAGTCAATTAAATCGCCGGTGCTGAACCGGAAGCGTCGTGATGATGATGAAAAGGTTATGAGATCAGAGCGCTGGAAGGGAATTTTATTTTGAAATCCTAAACCGGAAATCCTATTATTGCGCCAACGTGATCGAGTGTGTCTTAAAACTGTGACTAACATACACACTTTATACACACAGTACATACTCATTACGTGCACACAGTACATACTCTCAGTACATACTCACAGTACATACACACAATAAATACTCTTAACACATACACAGTACATACTCACAGTACATACACACAATACATACTCTCAATACATACACAGTACATACTCTCAATACATACACAGTACATACTCACAGTACATACAATACATACTCAATATAAATACAATACATACTCACAGTCAGGGGCGTAGCACACGATTCTTGGCCCTAGACACATCAGTCTCTGTGGGCCCCCTTCCTCTCTTGATTCATGATGTCCCTCATGCAAATTAAAAAATATATATTTTCAAATACAGTTCTGTACAAATGAATCTGTAGTGTTTGTGAGGGTAGTCACTGCATGCCAAATTTAGAATGAGTAAATATGAAATATCATCGCATTTCAATCCTCCTGTTACTTTATCATAGTTAACTGAGGTTTGTTTGAAGTATCATGCAAAAAAGAACATTATTAAACATTTATTCAGATAGTTCCTAAAGTATAAAACACACCTGAAAAATGCCATTTTAGTTTTCTAACCTTGTGGAAAGAAATCTGTCAACAGTGTCTGTCAGCTCTCTTTCTTTCTTTTTCCGTTTTCTCTTTTATTTTCTGATTCACATTCTTTCCGTTTCTTTCCTGAAACATTGAACATCACTGCTCCAGCTCACACACTTCTATTGTTTCCAGAAGAAGCAGCAGCGAGGACTATTAACTATTTGTTTGTAGGGGGGACACAGGTGACTTCAAGAAGCCTCCACTATTTTGAGATTCAAATTTCTGTCAATCAATCAATTCATTCACCCAGTTTCAGCCATTTTCATTCAGTACTTAGAGATTAAATTATTAATTTAGGCTTTTCAGGGGCCCCCCCTCCAACTTGTTTCTGTTTTCTTTTGGACGTCCAGGCGTCACAGCTTTGTTGGTGTGTTTCCTCCGCTGCTGCACCGCCAGGAAACACGACACATGACCACTGCAGGGGAGAGAGTTGTCAGAAAGAAAGTTGTTCAGTTATCAAACAAACAGGGATTTGCAAAGAACCAAACTCACTCATTACTCCAATATGTGAAGAGACAGAAGTTTCTGTCTCTGTCTCACATTCATCTAAATGTGATATTTATATCAGTATTCACAACTGAAACATATCGATCTGAATGAAATCATTGAAATCCTGCAGACAGGTGCTGGGTCTTCACCAGAAAAGGTTTTTTTTAAAAGAGTCACGACTCTGAGTTATAGTTCATATTTATGCAGCTGTGGCGCCATCTGTAGGTGAAATACCATAAACAATCTAGGAGGACAGTAAGTGCGTATACCTGTCAGTTATTTAAACAATAATTCATATGATTAGTCAAAACTGAATTAAACAAAGTACATTTTTAATTTATAATAAAAAATTTACCTCCTCTCTTCCCCTCCACTCTAGTGAGCCCCCGAAATTGGTTCCGTACAGGCACCCATACTTCTGAGATTAAACTAAAGAGTCAGAACTTTTTTTCGTATAACGTTTTTTCCCACAGTGGCCCTAATCCTCTTCCATAGCTTCTAATACAACCTCCTGCTCATTTACTCCTGGCCTGCATGTTGTGCGTTAGTCACACAGTCTATGGTTAGTTACTATGTGTTTAGAAATTGCCTCTGAATCTTCATCATCAAGAGAAATCTTAATACAATAAGTTGCATTAAATATACTTAATGTGACATGCTCAAATGTTTTAATGTATTAAATAACATTTAAATCAAATGTAATGTGCTGTTAATAACCAAAGGGATTATAAAAGTATGAACAATCTAAATGGAGCTTCAGCTAAACGTCAAATTGCTGATGTGTCGTGTCTTACCTGTGAAAGCGTCACTGGAGGATTTCTCTCTGAACAGACTTGTGATGGAGTGAAGCCTCCTCCACCTCTTTCTGCTTCTTCAGCATGACCTCACTGAAAAACCAACTGCTGTGTAGCTCTTACCCGCCCTCTGTAGGTGAACATTATCAGCACATACACATTTTTCTTTTTATGAATTGATTTTCTTTTTATTACAATACAGTTCTACTTTGCGGTACAGTTTAGGGAAAAGAAGCATTTAAAAAACATCTACATTGCATGTTCAATAGAAGTGCACAAAATAAGACTTTCTGAAAGGCTCTACAACAGTTGTCTCAAAAGTTTCAGTAAAAAAAAAAAAAAAGTTTCATAATAAATAAATATAAATTACATGAAAGTCAGGTAATTCATTTAAGGCACATCTTACATCCCAAAGATGTACCTCGCACAAAAAATATGGCAACTCCATAAGGACAAAAAACAAGCTTATTTTCCAGCTTAAAAGGAAGCAGCACTCTCCTTTTAATAAGAACAATAGAACAAGTTCAGCATTTAACTACCCTGCCGCAGAAAAGTTTATATATTAAGCAACTTTACAGAGCATCGCCTGTCAATTCATGAAGTTTGGAATTAGTTACAATAATGCAAATAAAAAACCGTTTTCAATGCAGTATTAAATTTGAGAGACAGTAAGCACGTCACCATGGCTACAACTGTGCAATCTGAGCAACATTAAAACAGGAAATAAACATCGAGACAATTATGAATCATAAGGTAAATGCAAAGTTATTGCTGAAATACTTGATGCTTTTTACAAGTCAATTTGGTTGAATAAGGATCCATCACTTCACACTTCTATAGCAAAAGTGACAGCAAGCCAAGAGAACTTCTCACATTCATAATGTCTGCATAGTTTGAACTTTTTCTGAGTAAATCACATCGCTAATAATCTCACATTTTCTCTGACAGTATTCGCCTTACAAAATGTAAAGAAGCCACACAACAGATCATGTGATTCCTGTAGGTTCAATTTCTGACCCTTGCATGCCATTAGTGAACAAATACAGATTAAAAGGAATATTGCAGCTCACTGATGCTGCAATCGAGAGTTTTCCTGCAGTTTTCACATATTTTTTTGCAGAGCATAGGCTACAGCTTTGCATGCCGTTAGTGAAATGTGCCTGAGATAATGAAACATGAAAATGTGATTAAAAGCTTCGCTAAATTAGCGTAAAAATGGGTTTTCAGTGCCGTTCAGACACACAAACTGTTTTTTTTTACAGAAGTAGTGGTTTGAAAAAGGGCTTAGATGTACCAAGAGCCAAAACACTGTATTTACAAAATCAGTTTTAAAAAGCATTTGCTTTACAACATGCATTGTCATTTCATTGTAGGCTGAACAAAAGAAATAAATACATCGCTTTAGTCATTCCAGAAATGCGGAGGAATGTACATGCTTCATCTAACCACATCAGTCTGAGTCAATGTGCACCCACTGCTGAACAGATTACAAGGTGTTTGAAACTCATGGCATGCTTAACATGTGAAAACTTCAGAAATGATTTGTTCTCATCTATACACATTAAAAGCTCAACTCAGAGGACAGTTGTACTAATGATCCCTGGTGTCACCAACAGCCCTCTGTGTACTAGAAATCCTACAGACTCACACATATGGAGCAAAACACAAAGGACAAAACATCGCAGCAACTTGTTGAAGAGCCACTCCAACACACGAAACAGCTGGTATTAGAAATAGCTGGTGTCTTTCACATGCACACTTACAATTTGACAAATTATGAAAATGGAACAGTCTTGATATGTATGAAAAAAGTGACGAGATATTTGATCACACAATCTGAAAAAACAAACAAAAAACTATTCAGAATCAAAAACGGAGCCTCAACAAAATGTGTTGCATCATTCTATAAATAACACTAATGCCCATGAGAAGATTTTTTTTCCTTTTAGCTTTTTATATAAAAAAAGAAATTTACCTCTATACAAAAGTTTAAAAAAATACCCATATTAAAGAAGGAAAATTACGTAGAAAAGAAATATCTAACAAACTGATCTAACGGGGGAGTGGGGATTAGAGGTCTGCCACTGGAGACAAATCCAGGTGGATGCCATGGACAACCCTATTGGAGGATTTTCAACAAAAGCAATCACCAGGTTTCTTTCACGTCTTCTGGGAGCTGTGGAGGAAGTGTGTCTGGAAGGTGTGTGGACACTTGTGTGGAGACCAGTGTCGTCTGTTTAGTGGAACTGCAGCAGGGTTTAAAAAGTCGAGGATCAATGATCACCTCTCCAAACCGCCCCTTGTAGACAATCCCACAGCACACTTTTTGCCTAAAAGGGGAAAGGATAAAAGACACTTTTAGTTATGAATCTTTTTAAAAAGCCGTCAAATCAGTAATATTTTTTCCTGATAATTAAACCTATAATTTACCTTTTCCAATAGGACCGGTCCAGGAAAGAGAAGATGGAAGGAGTTGGACGTCTTTGTTTGGACTCGATGTCTGAACCATCATCTGACTGGTTGCTGTAACTCGGGGACTGGGCAGGAGACACACTGGAGGTGGTGCTGTGGGCATCAGAGTCTGCTTGGAAACAAAACACAAACACTTAAACATAGTCGAAAGCTTGATTTGGCAAACTGCTGATTACATCCTTAGGGAGTCAACTAGAATTTACAAGAGAAAATCACTTGACATTTTGGAGTGAAATTAGTTATCGGTGAACGTAAAGCAGAAGATGAAGTTTAAATAACAGCACTATCAAATAATACAACTATTTCAACAATCCATTAATTGTCTATGTAATTTGAGAAGTTGACCTTTTTTCATCCTACTGTAAAGTAGTGCTCGCTTTAGGAAAACGTTATCTATTAACGTTATCTGTTAGCTATTTTCTATTACATAGACACAACAAGTGAAACATTTACACTTGCCCAACAGCTCAAAACCAAAAAGTGTCCAGATTCATATCATAGTAGAAAATAATAAAAACACATTCCACAAGCTGAAATCAGGGTTTGTGTGCGTTTTTTGTTTAAAAAAATCTGTCTATCATTAAAATGAACGGCAATTACTTTACTGAAAAACTGCTCAACTCAGACCCTGGTATGATGCAGTTACAGAGTGTGCCCTAACTCAAAGAACCACCAGATGCTGCATCAGAGTCATTTTTAACCACCTCTGTACACTGTGAAACTGCATGTGACCTACATATTTAAAATCCAAAGTCAGATGATAATACCACATTTCTCAACATATGTGGGGATATTAGTAAATATTTTAAAACAACTTACTTTGTCTCTTTAACTTGTGGAGCTTCTTTAGCTTGCTTTTCTTCTTCCCATCACTGTTCTTGATCTTCTTGGGTTTTGTCATCTTGAAACCTGGCCCAGCTCTGGCATCCACCACCTGAGTCAGGTCAGGCAAAAACATCCAGTCATTTTACAACTCAGGACGAGGAGAGAAAAAACCAGACTCTCAGCACCTTCAGGAGACATTTCACTTACATGGTTCCAGTTCTTCTTAGAACCATGAGGCAGCTTCTTCCACCGCTTCACCAGTAACACGCAGGCATTGCAGATATCTCCAACACGATCCTCTGCCAGCCTGGACAAGTAAATTAACCCAACAGTTTCAGTTTGACATCTGATATATGCAAAAAAAAAAACAGTATCATCACACAAACGCACATTATGAACGAATGAATGAAAGTGTCTTTACCCAAAGCAGAGCCTGAACGTCTCTTCATATCGGCTGCTGTCTGTGAAGCGTGAACTGGAGGACTTGGTCTTGCAGATGCAACAGCCGTCGTTACTCCGGTAGATCTTTGACTTGTGGAAGCCAAACATAGTCTGACTGTGGGTCCGTCTTCAGGCAAAAACCTGCAAACGTAAAACCAGAGCTCGGTAATCGTGTCTGTGTTCGTTATAAACACCGTGTGTCTGTCCGCAGACAGCTGGGGTTACTACTACTGAGAAGGGGGCGGTCCCTACACGAGCGCGCCCACACACACACACGATCACAAGTCATTCATAATAACCCATAATAATAACTCCAACATATAAAAACACAATTTATCTGATAGAGCAACACATCGACAACCGATCAAAACGAAATCTGACGAAGCAACAACACCGAAGAATGTGAGGAATTTAAAGTCTGCTCACAGAACGTCCAAGGAAGAAATAACATCGATATAACACTAAAATCCAAACATCGGGTTGTGCTCGTGTTGTTTACTCGTGTCGCCAAAGAAGCTGTTTTAAGAAAAGCTACGTCACAATTCAACTCCAGAACTTTCGCACACTCCGTCCGGTTAACGTGAGGTGGTTCACAGACACGGTACACCCACAACACAGCGTTTTACTATCGTCGATGTTAGTGTCGTGAACAGAGCTCCGTGCGTTACAAACTTCACTGAGGTCGATGTGCGGTGGTCGGTGGTGTAGCCGCCGTAGTGTGTAGCGTCGGTCGCGGATGCGTCCGCTGTGGAAACCCCAAACAAAAAGCGGCGGCGGTGCTCTGTGAAGTAAAACAAAAAGCTACCGGGCTACTCGCTGAATTCAGGATAAAGCGCGAGTCTGAGCAACACCCCGGCGTGGACTCGACGCTGCGCGTGCGTGTTGTCGGTAAAAACGCGAAAAGTAGCGTCGAGCCCGGCGTCGCCTTTAAATGCAAACTTTATTCCGCCAGAGCGCCAAACGCGGCTCATTGTTGTTAGCCGTTAGCATGCTAGCTAGCCGATGCTGCTACCTCCGCCACGCCACGCTCTCGTTCACTTCCACGTTATCCCATTGTCGGTTATTCTTCAGCACGCTCGGCTCGCTACACGCGGACACGCACGGGTCACGCTACGGCTACGACTCACACTCACGCGTCTCTCCCGCACGCAGCAAACCGGCGGAATCTCCCAAATGTAATTCCCGCACGAGAGAAATAAGAGCGCACTTACTGAACAAAAACTTTGAATCCTCGCCGTGTCCTCGTGTCGCACTGCGCATGCTCTTACTACCGCTGCATACAGCTGGGCATTAGCATGTCGTTAGCATAAGGAGCCCTGATGAAAGGGCTGCGCGAGCTCTGCCCATATAAGGAGGGCAGCCGTTCAGTTTGAACCTGGAGCCAACCAATCGCAGCCGTCCTCGCGAGCCCCTCGGTGGCAGTGGATGCTGGGAGGTGTAGTTGAACGGGCGGGAGAACTGCTGTTTGCCTCAGTTTTTAACCCCTTCTTTTTAAACTCAAAGTCCCATAAACCACCGGGCCCGACGCTTTAAAGAACAACAGCCCTCTGAAATGGCGCGAAAGCGTTTGTTTACATGTTTTCAGCTGAGAAGGAGCAGCAGCGGTGTGATCGGTGAAATCACTGCGCCGCAGATACATCACACCTACATCACTCTAATGCGCTGACTCCTTTCACACTGGTTA